GGTGCTGACTAGAGGAAAGAGTAGCTGGACGTCTGTCTGGTCTTCCCTTCTGGTTTCCCAGCATATCCTCTGCTTCCCACTGCACCAGGTCCTCATATGATTCCTACCCAGGTCTGCCCTTAGTCCGTCTTGCTCTAAATCTCTCCTTTCTTCCTTCCTTTCTGCACCCCTATTAAAGTATTCCTTTTTCTATTTACAACAGTGGTCTCCAACCTTTTTGGCACCAGGGACCATTGCTCCTATCAGAATCTAACACCTTATGATCTGAGGTGGAGCTGAGGCGGTGATGCTAGCACTGGGGAGTGGCTGCAAATACAGATGAAGATTTGCTTGCCTGCCGCTCACCTCCTGCTGTGTGGCTCAGTTCCTAATGGGCCACAGATCAGTATCAGTCAGTGGTGTGGGAGTTGGGGACCCTTGAGTTACAACACTAAAAGGATCTCTTAAAATACTTCATAGACAAGTCTGTTGATCACTTATCCAAAATTTCATATCCAAGCAGAGGACAATAGGATGAACTCCCAATGGTAAATTGCCATGTCATGGTAGGATCATTGGAGAAAAAGAGGGAAGGAAAAGGATAAAGAGGGGTGGAATGAAAAAAGGAAGAAAATATTTATTGAGTGCCATTTAGTTTTACATACAGCATTATGTGAACTGCTGCCTACAAAAGATTCCCCGGGGCTAAATGGCTGCTGGTCAGGAATTTAGACTACAATAATCCAGATCTGAGCTAATTCCTAAAAAAAGTAGTAAGGAAATATAGAAAAGGGCAATCTATGATCCTCTCATCTTATGACCCTGACATTATATACATCTGGAAAGTGGACAATAAGGGTGAGCAATTACTGAACTTTGTCAGGGCTTTAGAAAAGTCATTCGATCACTCTGAGGCCCAGTTTCCTCATTTATAAAACAAAGCTGTTGGGATTGGGGGAGGGATGATCTCTACATTTTCTTCTCATTCTTAAATTACACCATTCAATAAATTTTGTCAAATTTTCCCCTCTATAAGATCATTCCTATAACATATAAATATGCTTTTATTTCTTCCAACTTAGGACAAAAACAAAACAAAACAAAACCAAAAAAGACTCTGCTTATACTGCTCCCTCTGGGCACCGCCTTATCTCTCTAACTCCCTTTTCAGCAAAAATCCTTGAAAGAGGTATCTTATACTCCATATCTCTGCTCTTACTTCTCCCATCCTCTCTTGCATCCATGCCAAGCAGACTTTTGCCCCCATCACATAACAGAAATTCTCATAAATACCACCAATGATTTCTAGTAGTCAATTCTTAGTTGTTCCTTTATTTGACTATTAGCAGCATTTCACTCAGTTCCTCCAAAGAACACTGTCTTCATCTGGCTTCTAGCACACTACACTCAACTGGTTTCCAGACCCCCCTTTTCAGTCTAATGTTCTGATTTTCCTCATCTCCCCAAATTTCAGATATGGAAGATCCCCAAACACAGCCTTCACTCCCCCTTCTTTCTCTCTCCATTCATGCAATGGATGATTTCTTCTATTACATGGCCTCAAAGATCACCATGGATTGATGACTCAAGACCTCTCTCTTGATGCCAGACATGTATATTCAAATGCCTACTTGAAAACACTCCTTAGTTATCTAGTTGATGTTTCAAACTTAACATGACAAAATTTCCCACCTCCAGCTTTCTTCTTCTGAAATCTTTCCAGTCTTATTAAGTGGCAACTCTATTCTTCCAGATGCTCAAGATACAGCTTTGGAGTCATTCTTGAATCCTTGCTTTTTCTCACATATATCTCATCCATTGGGAAACACTATCAGTTCTTCCTTCAAAATATAAGCAGGAGTCCAGCCATTTCTTTCCAGGTCCACTGCTACCATTATCTCCTACTTGAATTATTACAGTAGCCTCTTATAACCATCACCATCCGTACTGGAAACAGATGGCCTACTCAAATGAAATAACTGAGAATTTAATAAAGGGACTACTTACAAAAGTGTGGACAAGATTAAGGGAAACTAGCAAATGATTGTCAAGTGTCCAGTATCTAGCAAGTTAGTAAGGGCCAATGGAGTCATTATCATACTTGGACTGAAGGAGCAAGGAGTGAGAATAATTACCTGAACACACACACACACACACACACACACACACACACACACACACACACCCCCACCAGGAACTGTATTCTTCCGTGACAACCACCAGAAAGGAAGATAGAGAAATGAAGGCCATGAACTCACTTTCCTCAGGCCTTCTGATCTTCTGATCACAGACATAACTGAATCCCAAGTCAGAAAACAAGAGAGACATTGATGCATTCATTTAAAGTCAACTTCCTAATCTCCTATGCTTGTCTGGGACATACGGCAGAATGGAAAATGATAAAAAAAAAAAAAAAGGGGGGGATCTGGAAAGGAAAACAAGTATATCTGACAAAATATCCTCATATGCAAAACAAAAATAAATATTACTGTCAAGGAGTGAATTGAAATAATTTACATAAAGCATTTAACACAATGTCTGACACATAGTTTTTAGAGAAAGAGTAAAAACAACTCTATTTGCCTGGTACCATATTTCCAAGAGTGGATTTTTATACGGGCATGTTTTCCACACTTCAGATTATGACCAGTTAGTGGGCTGTGAACTTAATGGATTTCCCAGCATTTTTTTAAGAAACAGAAAGACCAGCACACATCTCATGAAGTAAAGATAAGTACTGTCTCAAAAATATTAATTTGAATTAAATTCAATTTAAATACACATTAAATTCAATGTTTATTTGTATGTGCACGTGTGTGTGTTTGCAAGTGTGTTCAAGTATGTATTTGTTCTCTGAGCCACAATGTAAAATATATTTATTAAGAGTCATGATCGAAAACTGTTTAAAAGCCACAATGCAAGAACACTTCTGGCTACGCCCTCTCACCTCTCACTTATACCTCCCTAGGAAGTGATTTACCTGATTGATATATCTGAGAGGAAAAATTGAGCAGACATGCTTGATTCCTTTCTCTTGTCCCTTATAGTCCCGTTTTATCTTCTCTTATTCTCTGTAGTAGACTAAATCATGACCCCCCAAAGAGATCAGATCCTAAAGCCTGGAACTTGTGAATAATACCCTAAATGGCAAAGTCTTTGCAGCTATTACATTAAAAATCTATGATTAGATTAGGATCTTGAGAGGGAGAGGTTATCCTGAATTATAGGTGTGGGCCCTAAATGCAATTATATGTATCCTTTAAGAAGGGGGGTGGAGGAGCTTCTACGTAAAGAGGGGAAAGGCAATGCGAAGACCAAGTAGAGAGAGATTTCAAGATACTGACCTTCCTTGAAGATTCAAGGGATGTAGTCACAAGTCAAGGAATGCTGACAGTCACCAGAAGCTAGAAGAAGCAAAGAATGAAAATTTATCCTTTCAACAGTTGACAGACATTTAAAAAGATTACGTTTAAAGGTTCTTTCCATGCCTTTAGTGGGTAGGAAAGGGGATAACAGATTTACATCCATGAGTGAGGTGTCATGAGAATTGGGAGGGCTTCTGTACACCTATTTGTACTCTGACTTCCCTCATAATAATACCCACACTGAATAATTATGTGCTGAGCACATTATATGCTTAATCTCTACCTTCACAAAAATTTGGCAAGGTAGTCATCATTATCCTTGTTTTATGAATGAGAAAACTCAGAGTCAGAAATAACTTGTCCAAAGTCACACTAGTTAGCGACAGAGTCAAGCTATACATCTAGTTTCCTTCAAAAAGAGAGCTATCTCCACTTTAACTGTCTCCCTGCATTGCCCATTCCTGGTTTCCTGGGGCTGGACTTCTGTATGGTAACTGTTTCTCAAACAAACTGCATGCCATAGTTTGCACATACCAAAAAAATACATAAGAAGTTTTTTCAGGCAGCAGTCTAGCTTGTTTCTGGCCACTTTGGTCCAGGATCTTATGCCTCACTTGATTTTTTTTTTTTTTTTTTGCGGTTGTTGGCTAAAAGCTAGATAAAAGATAAAAATGGAAGATGAACACTTTAGTGTCTTGGTGCTGGGCAATGTGTTGACAATAAATGACATTATAAATATCTCAGGGTTAGGAGAGCTCTTGGAGATCAAATGCAGAATCTTTTTATAGATGAAGAAAACAAAACCAACAAATTTCATGTATGTCTAATAACCAACAGCTCATCGAAGCAGAATTTCATTGCAATGTAAAGATTTCTAATACTTTGTAAGATCTAAGTGAGAAGTAACTCCAAACTTATTTTGCTCAACCAAACACAGCATTGTAAAACTTCCGTATTGTCTCCTTCTCAAGCATTTGTGTAGGAATATATTAAACTGATACCCTATAAGGAAAAAAACAAACCCTAGTTTTTATTTTAGGACAGGGGGTGAAATTGTAAATAGCACTTTTCAGTTGTGGGGATTTTGAGATCCCATGATCATTAACTGCCTTTGAAGTGGTGAGTCCATTCTACAAAATAAAACCCCAAACATTCGCACCGTCAAGTCGCATATTTAAATAAAATTATTTTAAATAAAAGAATGTTACAGAGAAACCCCCTGTAACACAATGTGGTTTGTTCGTTTGGTTTTTCTGGAAGAGCTTCACATTTGCTATACTAGCTTACCATATATTTATGTGGCTTCATGGTGGAATTGTTATGGCATGTTTAAAGATATCATTGCCCTTGAAAATTAAAAACAAAATAAAGGGCAAACGAAGGTCCTGAGAGGTAGGTAAAGAAAGGCGTTCTGGGTATGGCTACTCAATATTTTCTCACTCTCTTCCATAACAGTATCCTTCCGTGGAGGAATTCCCAAACACCCTCGGCCAACGAGCAAATGAAAACCACAGAGAAGCCCCACCTTTGAGCACAGTAAGGAGACGATCCTCCCACCCATCAACCAATCCGAAGTCGAGTTCTCCGTCTGCTCTCAGCTTGAGCGACCTTCGCTCCCCGTCGGCTTTCCCCTTTTACGACAGTTTTCCGGCCTGGCTCCTGGCCGCCACTGCAGTGTTTGCTGCGGCGCCTGTGTCTGGACGGTTTGTTCTTGCAGGTGGTGGCTGCACTGCTTTCTGGTAGACGCGTGGAGTTGTCGGCTGCAGCTTCTGGGCTGGGATGAACCCCGTGCTGGGTGGAATTAGGGGAGCCGAGCCGGAGTCATGGTGAGTGCGGCCTTCCAGTGTCCTGGCGATCTCGGGCCCAGGCCTCAGCCTCAGCTCACGGCCTCGGAGGAGAGGAGCCGCGGTTGTCTCCCTAGTGCGACTCCGGGCGGGGGGATGTAGGGCTTCGGAGAGTCACACTCTTCGGAGCTTTGGCTCACCCCTCTCGGGCCTTTGTGTTCTTACACAGCCCTTCTGCGGGCGGCTCGAGCCCCTGGGCCGCCGTCCCCGGCGCTCGGAGATCAGTGGAAACGTTGGATTATACCTGCCTTCCCCCTTACACACCCTCACAGGACTTTCAGTACTTTGCCCTATCCGTCCCCTTGGCTCTTGCCTACATATCTGTTCTCGATTCCTGAAACATTTGCGTTTCTCATGTTCTGTAGTCGTGAGGCGGGACAGTGTCGAAGGAGCAACGAAAAGCTAGTCTCTTCGTTAAGCTGAAATTCGTTATCAGAATTTTACAAGAACTCTTGTAGACATTTCTTCCTTCTCTAGCAGAAACTTTATTTCCCTTGCTTTTATTGAACTTTAATGAAACTTCATTTACCCTGAGGTGAAAAGTTTTCAAAGGGAGGAAAATCATTCTTTCCTTGTATAGTGTACAATGCACTGGACATAAAAGTTGCAGTCGTTTTAAAGGATCATTGGGCAGAATATTTTCACTCTAAAAGTTGTTTCTTCAGTTGAAATACAACTTGTAATGAGTTGGGATGGGGAATGTGTAATAGGA